GCATGTAACAATAAAAAATTGAGAAAATTTGTTATTGGCTTTGCGCTGAATGAATTACATGCAGTTGAATTTTCACAAAATCTGTGCAAATATTTGGCTATGCAATCGACTCCATTTTGCATCAGCATCAACACAAAATAGAATTAAATAAACAAAACTCGGCGCCATGGAGCCGGTGATGAAAGAATGCAAATTTTACGCCACAAAGTTGCCGTGGCTGTGTGTGTGTGTGTGTGCGATCGTCGGGTGGTTCTTTTGTCACTCATACGCCCCGTGTCACTCAGCTGACGCATATTTTTTTATATGTAGTTTCTCGCATGCGGGCGTTTAAATTGAATTAAAGCGTTGAAGTTTGTTGGCTAAAAAATTGGAAAATATACTCAAAAAAAAAAAAATAGCATTTGCATAAATCCAACAATAAAAAGTTCGTGTTTTTTTCATTTTGTATTTACGGCCATTGTTTTACAAGCATTAAATTTTTTCCAAACTGTTTGTCAACAGATTTCTGCTGGAATTATTTTATTACGCTAAAGCGAAAAATAGGCACTATTTACATAATCACCAATCCAATTTTTTTGCTTATCTACAATATGTGTGTACGCAATGACATTTTAATAGGCTGCTGCTGAATTGGATGTATTTGGTTGTTTGTACAAAATGCTTAAAGCTATTTGCAACTGCGAGTGCTTTAAAAAGTCGTAAATAAAGTTTTAGCCCGATAGAGATGACAAATTTTTTGAACATAAAAAATATATGCAAATAATTGTTTACAATTCATTTTTGCATTGAAATTAAGTTGCACTTCACCGCTTCGCAAGCGCTTCAACAGCGCCTTCTGTTCGCTTTCACAATTGACATGTACGCATGCAAGTGCACACATGTATGTACATGCACACTTTTGTAACTCATGCGGACGGACTGCTGTTGAAAGTCAGTGGCATTATCGCTTGGCAATCACAGACGGTTAAAATGTGCACAAACATAAAATACGAAATTAATCGGTAAAAAGTGTTGAAAGGCAAAAGGTGAAATGAGTTTTTTTCAATTAATACGCATGTAAATACAAATGCACGTATGTATGTATATGTATCTCTATGAAAAAGTACACTTTTTATTATGTCTTACTTTATCACCTTGTTGCACAAAAGCGTAGTGGATATCGCAATTGCCATTTTGTTGGAATTTCTGTAGCTTTAGTCATTTCGCTTTTTTTCATAACATTCATTTCGATGAACTCGGTTGGATTCTGCGTACTGTAGTAACTATCATGTTTTCATTTTCCAACGAAAAATATGCTGTTGAAAGAGATTGTGCATTAATTTTAATTACAGTTTTTTTTTTATTAAAACTTTCAAGTTAAAATTTGTTATATGCACTTTTCAGTCAGTTTTAAAATTTAATCAATGTTTGACGGAGTTTTGTAGACCTAATTACGCTCCTCTGTTTTACATTTTTACAACTACTGAGGAATTCTAATTTGTGTCCTTAACACATTAACAACTCAAGTCTGGAAATTTTTTTACTATATTATTCTAGACTTTAATTACACTGTAGGGAAAATCTTAAATTTCGAAATAA